GTAAGCTAGTGGACCCTACGTACCTTGAGCAAAAGTGTAAGAGGCGCAAGTGTCAGATGCAAAAGGGATAGAGAAGGCCGTATGATTGGGACGGTTCGCTTGAGCAATGCAGTCCGCTTCGCGATGTGGAGCCATGGTGTACTGGTTGCGGTACTGGATGTGTAGGTACTCGATAAGGCTACTTTCTAATTGCCGTTCGTCTGTGATGGGAAAAGCTTGAGTTGGGATGATGTCCAAATTGGCCTCAGAACTTAGGCACTGAGGAGGCTCTGGCGGAATAAACAGGCCTACCGATCGCGGCAGAGTCGTGTAAGTATGCAGACAACATTATCACTTACAAGGGTCGTCTAAGACACGAAAGACATGGGTTCAGATAGGAAGTCATCCTATTTGGCGGTAGTTCCGCCGTTCTGTCCTCTTTCGTGCGTCTGGATAGGTCGAGCGCCTCTTTCAGGCAAGCGTTGCGGGGAGAATAACGAGTGCAACGGCCTCGGTATCTGAACGAACTCCAGCCCAATCATCACAGAGGGGGTGGCATGCTTGCCGCGAAGTTACGGCCAAGAGCTGCGAGCAGTTGTACTCGAGGCGGGTTAGCTGCAGCTGTCATCGACCTCTCGAATCGATCCCCAACCCTAGTTTGCCCTGTATGTGCCCTGTATGCTTGTATGTTTGTATGCCGTGAGGGAGTATTCGAGGTACGTAGTGTTCTGTAGTGTGAAGAGGAGAGAGTAGATCCCTGCTGCTTTGCGAGAAAGTGGTCGCCGACCTCAGAACTGGAGGGTGTGCGTCATAGGGCACAACTTCCTGCAAGTCCTACAAGTTCTGCAAGTATATGCGTCTAGACTCGAGAGACCCCTGAACATCTCACTCTGCACGGATACAATCTCATCTCGTATGGGAAAGAGTCTTGCGGAGAACGTAATGAGTTTAGAACCGATAAGTTTAAACGACGGACTGCGACGGATAGGAGTTTGACATGGAGTTTGGAGGAATAACCAAAAAAATTTGAGGCGGTTTGATGACGGTCCCAATGCTAAGCCCGCCAAGGCCATGGATCTGGTAACAAATAGTGTTATTAATTGCCATCTATCCTTGCTGTTCATCATTCATCATTGTATCATTGTTGCTGACACAACTACTAACAAGCCCCAAGCAGGTAGGTAGTGTACCTAAGAAAGGTATGTAATAATGTAATAATACATTAGATCAGATTCGAGAGAGTCCCAGGAACACAAGCCGCAAGCTACAAGTCGTAAAGTCGCAAACCTCTAAATCATTGGAGAACTTGTTTATGTTGTTTCTTTAAGAAGACTTCCTTTTTTTTTTTTTTTTTTGTCATTCCCAAGTCATGCAGCCTCCCCGGGGATCACTAATTTTGACAACTCTATAATACAAACCCCTTGACAATATTTGCCCACGAGGCTCGATTCACACCCAGCTCTAACCAATGATAGACCCTAACAAGATCCGCGCTGAACCAGCTACAACCATAAGAGCTTTAAGCGCCTATCGCAATCTGAGACTTAACAATTTGTTCCGTTTTAAGGTCCGGAGCGTCGCATACTTTTCAATGAACTGCCATCGGGTCACGCACCTATCTCCAATATGCTCCGATATACTCCAATAACGCCCCAACTTGACTGACTTGACTGACTTGACTGATTTTTAACATACTATTGTCGTGATAGGCGGACAAATCTTGAACTCTTCGGGCGAATCGAGCTATCTGTGGCTGAGTTAGGTTCGTTATTCAGAAGCTTAGCCTCGATTTGTGCTGCAGGTGTGTTGCATTAATCCAGCTGCAATGGAACAAAGGTTCTGTTAATCATAGACCACATCTCGCGTTTGCTTTCTTACACAAAGACACCCTCAAAACTACCAACTAATCCCGTACTTGGTCAGCTTTAAACGATGTACCTTCGTGTCGCCGCATATTCAAACCCGATAGCGCACCCTCTTCGGAAACGCGGATGAAAAATCTGTAATGTCTAAGGGTGCAGCCGGGATTTGTCGAGCCCTGTCGTGATGATTCCGCGCGTATAACGGATTTTAAGTCGTAACCCGAGCAGAGAGCTCTTTGTAACTACCTAGGTAGCTGACATCACCTGTCTCTACCCCCGTCTCTCTCCCTCGCACGCACTCATTCTCAGCTGCTGAACCTGTGCCGTATCCAAGTTAGGCCTCCTATTGACAAGTCTATTGACAAAGATACCATGTCAACTATGAATCTATAGGCATTGATTCATTACCAGACTATCTTTTGACAGTCTGCCCCCAAAGATTCAGGTCAGTTACCCCAGACCATATTACGTATTCGGGGATAGATATCACAACCCTCGCACGAATCCCCGAGTGAACCTCGGCGATATAATCGCAACGCTCAGCATAGATCTAATCGCTACGAAGATCTAAATCATGATAGCACGTCTCATTGGAGACCTCACCCGGGTCCTGACAGCTGCAGACCTACCCTCCTAATCAGCTTACCCCGGCTCATACCGCGCGCATTGCATTAGGGTCAGATCTCCTGCGTCCTCGCGGGCTGGAAAGCCTGGGACAGCATCCCGTATGTAAGGAGGAAGGCCAGACCCTTAGGAATGGGCTGCATCCGCACTAGATCTGTGTGTGTGTCTGGAGGACGCACCCGGTCTTGGCGAGCACAACGTCATGTGTGAATGCGAAGATCTCCCATTTTCGGATGAACGATGCCTATCACAGACTGATCCGATAAGTCATATCCATTTTTGGAACTGCTAGTCGATAAGCTGTCTACCTAGAGACCTATCAGAGGTCGAGAAACGGTTCCTGAACCACCCAAGCTAAGGGTCGACCTTTCTTGCATAGGTAGGACTCGTACAGCCTCCCCTACGTCGTTCTACCCGGGCCTCGTGGCAATAAATACAACCCCATTCACCTTATTCTTAAACCCATGCGATTCAGGTGAGGATGTGCTCAGCCTTGCAGACGACCAGCTAGCTGCTATCCCTAGGGCGCCACCTATGGCGACTTCGAATTCATACAAGTATCAGTACACACACCACACTGAAGCTGAAAGCCACGCGCCAAATTCTCCTAGCCAATGATAGGGAAGATATCATCAGGCACGAATATATGTATATTATATTCTCTCTACATGTAGTATTATAAGTAAACTTAAGAAAACAGAATAAAAATAACTGATATCTACAGCTGTAACAGGCACTGATACGAATGAGCAAGGTCGCAGGAGAGTTCCCGATTGGCAAGTGACTTAAACGTATACTTCAATAGAATAATAACAATAATACCACCCCAACCTATTATAGCAAAGACGTTTCAGGCCTCCTCATCATTCGACGAGAACCAAATTGGATAGATACCTACGTTGGTAGTAAGGGTGGCGAATACTTTACGTTACGAGCAGCTTCCCTTCGTTCATAGATCGTTTACTAATTGTTCACGGCGCTTAGAGGTGACATTGAGAGCAAGTCCAAGCGCGAGACATTTCACCTCCAACCCTTTAGATATGAGCTGAAACATACATGTCGGTATTGAACCGGTGAGCCACGTTTATAGACTCGCAGCTGATTTGCAGACTCAGGCCGTTTGCAGATATGTGATGCATTTAGGGTCTTAAGTGTATGTTCGTCAACAAATAAACGAGACAACGGGATGTTTCTCTCCGATAGCTTGCTGGGCTATTCCGAGTTGGTAACTGATATCACTTTCTATATCCATAAGTTGTGCACATATAGACAAACTAGTGATATCTGGTTGGTATAGCCTAGTTGTGTTAGCATGACGAGGCTGTTGATACTACACATTCTTAGATATAAGAAGCGAATAGACTAACACTGTCACGGCCCGAAATGTGGAGTACACCGGATATTTCCCCCTGGACCGACACGCTTGTCTTGATTCTTTAACTGGTATATTGATTTAGTTTGAGTCATTGATATCTTCCCGCTCTAAGACGGAGGGAGCCACGAAGTTCCCATTCGCCCCCGTAATCTCCAATCTCTCACGTCTCCAAGTGAAAGAGCACCTAACGTGGATCGTCAAGGCCTACCCTATTCGAAGCTTGAATATTGAGTGATCGGCAGGCGCGTTAGTTCGACGATAGGTATGGTAATGGAGTAGATACTTATAAAATTGGGGTTGAGAATGGCAGCGTCGTTATCTGATACTACAACGCCATCGACGCAATAGGAACCAACTTTGCTAAGTAAGATTGCGAAAGATATCCTCATGTACAAAATATGGCGTATTTCTAAGCATCCTAATAACACTTAGGCTCTCTAGTATGAGTAGGCTTATATCCGATTGACACTATAGTCTCATTAGTACCTATCTAAGGTAAAGTTGTCATATCTCAGATTTAAAAAGTGACAGCGTCTCATGCAGTGACCGGAACGCATGGCTTTCGGGATACTACCTAATGATTATTATTATTTTCGGATAGCTGCTTAATGGCGCTTCTCTAGACACTCGATAGATGTTTGATAGTGTGTCGATGGTCATACTCTCACTTCCCCCTTGCTAGTGGCACGATTGGGGAACAACTATTGAGATTAGCATATCTCCTTGTGGCTTTGAATTCTCATGTGCTCTGATGCAAATAAATAATACCTCAATATAGTGGGATTCACTCATAGCGTATCACTTCTCTTCGAACCGACGCCCCTCTGCTAAGAGCCTAATATGCACAATATAGTGTTGAGTAATAGGGCGAGTAAAGCGATCAATGCAAGGTATATACAAGGAATGGGAAAGAAATATTGTTAAATTAGGTAATATTTACTATGGAATATTTTTCTCGCCGGCCGTGAACATCATACGCATATAATGATATTAGCTCTTTTAATATCAGAGAATGTTAAGATATCGTTAGTAATTAGTTCCCAAAAGTCAACCGCCATCCCTGTAACGCCAATCCATGCAAATTAAATTTCAACTGCGGTTAACTCCGAAGTAAACCTCAGTTAATAATAATTAATTGACTCTAATATACTTGTTGTGTCTTATAGCAGAGCAAGGAAGCCTGCAACGACAGGGGCGATGGCTAGGTTCTTAACGACGTCTAACACACTGCCCGCATTTGTGATGGGAATGCTCGGCGAGGCAGTGGGTGCGGGCGTTGTCTTGGTGACGCTACCCGTGCCAGTAGGGTAGGGTACGGTGGTGTTCGAGCCGAGTACGGAGAAGTTTGCGCAAGAGATACGGGTCTTGTTTGCGAAGTGGAATACAAGGCTTCGGTTTCCGAAGTACGAACCGACACCCTCGCTCAAGGACGTGTACGGGTCGTGATACTTAGCAGTGAACGGCTCTGAGCTTTGGATCTTTCCATATTTCCCACTTAGGTCTCCCTGTTGGCACGATGCCGGGCGTGCCGAGTCGCAAGCGGGGTCTTCGCCTCGGATATATTGGTCAAGGTGGGCGAGCGTGCTGGTACAGTTGCCATCTTCTGGGACAGGGGCGACGTGGATGTGGTAGACTTAATGACGGTTAGCTGATATACAAGAGAAACATTTATGGGGGAAGACATACTAAACGGTCCACCCTCTTGAGGCAAGTTCGAGAACGATACTTCGTAGTCGACACCTTCGCCGTTTGCACCAGACTTGGCTACGACGGAGCCCCTCACATTGCCATTAAGGCTTCCTTTCCAGAATGCCTGCTCCGGTAATGTGGCAACGGCTGTTTTTCCGATGGGGTTACCAGTAGTTACGGCGGCATCACCTAGTTGCTAATAAAGTAAGTTAACACCAACGTTTTATAACTAGTTAGTTATACATCACTATAAGTTGAAACTTACGCCGGTAACGTTATCCTGGGCTAGGACACCAGAAGCACCAATGGTAGAGAGCGAGATAATATTAGACACACGCATTTTGCTGAGGTATGAAAATGTGATAGTAGATTGTGATAGAGTTCTGGTTGTTCGAGTCTCGTCAGAATTCGTGGTTTGCGTATCTAGCTTCTAGATGTTGTGGCCTCCGAAGGATGGTGTAGCTTGGGAATTTATGTGGAAACTACTGGCGGAACCGTTTGTATAGTTATTTGTTCAGAGTTTTTGTGCCTTTAAAAGTCGGAGTTAGACAGGGACAAAGACAAACGGAGGTGAACAATGGGACTGAAGGCTGTAAGTCTTTATACCCGTCTACACTTTGTCTCTAGTGATAGTGGGTGTCACTTTGTACTCCATTGTAGCCCACAGCCTGCGACCGATCGACCAATGAACAATTCCTTGTCATAACATCATCTTAACTAACAAGGTCGAGTTCACCCGCCATCGTCTACGCGGAAAAGGAATGGCCGGTGATAGACATTTGATGAGACCAACGTCCACCGATGGGACCTTGCATCATTCCTCATCTAGAACTACCCAAAAATGGCAACGTAGGACAGCAAATCAACGTAGAGCAACAAGGATTAGGAGGTGACACTAACGAATCACATAATGGGTCTGAGCCAACCCTGCTAAGAAGCAGGGTGGTCATAAAAGCCAAGAAAGCCAAGCAGTTTATCCGGAGGGACGGGAACAAACGAAACAAGAAACATTAGAAACATTTCCCTCCATGTGTTGCCGGCACCCGAATCCGCGATCTTTACCTACAGGTTCTACATGTCGCCACGACAATTATGACAGCGAAAGTCCGGACTTCAGAGGGATAAAAAAAATGATGATGACGCTATAGACAGTTGATTACGTGGAGAGCGTATGCCGTATGCAAGAAGAAGGTAGGCTCTCCTATTTACCGATCACTTCTCACGTCAGCCCTTTTAGGGTCTTGTACTATGTAAATCTCATGTAGTTAACCCTCTGAATGGCAGCGCATTGTACAACACGTAGCCTGTGTTTTTTTACATAGTTACCTAGGGTACTCCCAATTTGATTTGCGCTACCACCAAGCCTCTTCTAATAATATACATGGATAGAGAAAGTCCGAATTGCTCAGCCATGGTTAGAGGCCCCCCCAATAATCCACTAACCACAAAGGACCCTCCCTTACTGGGACTGTAAGGCAGCGCGTGTATACCGAAATCAATACTACCATGTGTACCTGCCTAAGAGGTAGGTATACACATGCCTATTATACATTAGGTAGATATTGTAAGCGAGGTCCAGTTTGGCCTAAGTATATTTAAAAAAAAAATAATAAAACAAAAAAAAATTACATAGGAATGAAATATCAACTATAATTGGACAGTGTAAATAAAGCTTTAGGTAGTAAAATAGATGCCATACCTCGGCGGCTTTCTTGATGCCGTATATGATTCGTCCCATCCAGTAAAAACGGTGGAAGATCGTCTACGACCCCAAATACAAGCCGCTAGGTGCAGGCTTCGAGCCGCCGTCTGCAGGTACATACGTAAGTAGTATTACCAACCCTTTCATTATTTTGACATTTGACCGCTAAACCACTAACCATTACGAATCTATACCACAATGTTCTTGTCCCATGTCAGATTTTTGCGAACCAGTCAAACCAGAGTTACCAATGAACAGACTGAAATTACTATTCTCTATTTTCTAAAGAGGTGTATTGGCACGTGGTTATTGTAACCCGACGATCGATCGAGTATTAATTGTGATGGCAATTTGCCGGTTAAGGTGTCTTACAAGGTGCGATTAATTTGTAGGATCTCTATCCCTCCTCACCTTAGTATAATTTGACCAATATGAGATCTTATCGGAGTTAACCAGTTCGGTAAAGCGCATAGGCTTGTGTTATTTGAGACTCGCATCTCGCGTCTGTATTTCAAAACAATTAAGCAACTCTTACGGTGCTAACGAAAAGAAAGAAAAAAACCTTGACTTGTCTGCTCGCTATTGTCGCTAATTATAAATCGAGTCTTGGTGAAGGAGCATTACATAGGCGCTAAGCGCTTGGTTTTAATATATTAGGTACTGTTGACGCTGGCCAAGGCCGAGGCTGTGAACGATTTCTAGCGCGTAGCTCAAGGCTTGCAGGTTTCGGGACTAACACGAAAACTTCGATTAAGAAGCCTTATATGGATCTGGTTCTTTTTGATAGAAAAAGGTCACCATCTCGGAGCGAATGGTTTTAGATGCGATATTTACAAGTTAAACAACATTGAATACCAGACAGCCAGATAAACAAATCGGAGCTGAGCTGTGCCGGAGTTAGCGTCTATAATGTGTCTTATTTTAGATAGTTATTTGATATCTTAGGTACACTAAAATATCCATAAATAATATTGGTTAACTCTTGAGCATAGCTTACTGACAAAGAAGATATTATTGAGCTGAGTCAATAATGAAATTTAGAAATACATGTAGCATAGGTTAGGTACCTAGACTCGATAGAATTGAAAGTATAACTAACTGGAACTAGAAACTTAAAATGTTAACAGCCAGAAGCCAAGCAGAGCTAGGTACCTGGGTACCTTTCTGTGTAGGGATCATATCGGATAAAAGTGACACGGTTCCGACGCCTCGTAGTTAGCCCCAGTTCCATCAGCCTCATATCGTCGAGCCTCTCTATCCAATGACATCTAATTCAACATTGCGCATCCTCCTCCTAATCGCATTCGCGCCGACGACATCATCCTTCAACGTGATTCGCGATAGCCGCAGCAACCGAATCAGAACCCGTAAATCCTACCGTCAACGACACTTACACTCGCTACTTACTAAGTCAACGTAACCAAGCGCTTAACCAGCCCCAAAACCGCCCATCATGAAGCCCGTCGTCAGTTCTATGCAAGCTTGGTCTTGGTGAGCATCCCCCCCCTTCCCCCCCTCCCCGGTGCTAGGGGCTCCATCAACACCAACAAGTCAATCCTACTAATGAAGTGTCTTTCCATATACAGCGTGGTTATTTCCGTCTTTGCAATTGTCATCCTCTCGATTCTCGGCGGCCTCTACCGACACAATCACCACGAATTCATAGGGGGCGCCGAAGACCCCAAAGACGGCCAAGCGGTTGCGAGCACCGTGTTTACCGCCGTTATCGTATATGCTGTAAGTTTCCGACGCCATTGCACATTAGCGAGGAAGGATTATAAGTCTCATGTTCTCTTGCATATAGGCTTTCCTGGTATTCTGCGGCCTTCAGGGCTTGTTACACCTACGTGAAAACCGACGGGGTGCTATTGCGCTGTCGTAAGCGTTGACTCGGATTCGTGCATTATACTGTATTAAGAGACGCGGGCGTTCCGGTTCCTGAGTCATATCGAATTTACTTGAGAGGATATTGGGCTACGGCATTTGCGAGTGAAGTACCTCTACGAAGTCATACCTGGCCACTCACCAATGGTAATGATCAGGTAATAGCGTGGCCAAGAATTACATGTATGAATAAGTGTGGAAATTGAATTAGGAATGGATGACTTCGTGGGTTTGTCTTACTAGAGGCTTACCTCGGTTCTCTCAACCTCTTACAACCTACTATATTGGGAGAGGGGTACATTAGTTAGCGATTAAAGTTAATCAGCGAGGCATTGTTTCGCGTTTCTTACTATACCTACATATATAGTATTATACAGACAGGTGGTCTATATAGACTAGAGCTCTGTTAGTTGTGAAAAGTAAACAATATATTTCCTTCTAACATTGAATCTGCGTAGCATTAATACTATTTGACTTGGGAGTTTTATTCGTCTCTTCGAACTAAGCTTCATGTCCTAAACGAAACTGCCACGATTATGTTGGTGCCACCATGTTGAAGAGGTAGTTATGCTGATCAGCCCCTTTTCCCATTGAGCCCCCTTTGTTATACGACAAAATCATCATATTAGACTAGAAATCATAGCGCACCATCAGAATCTACGCAGAAAACTAAAATTGATCGAGCAACATCGTAGTAGCTACGGTAATGTCCCTAAAAGTAGTGAATGTTTGCACTGCCGGGTGTTTAAGACAAATTGAGGCTCGCCTGTAAATGTAACATCGTTGGCTTTAAAACGACGTCGGGTGAATGCATGATGATCAGATAAGATCTCTTCCATTTAATCTAGAAGAGTCCACAAGCGAATCTGGTAATGCGTAGAAATTAATGTGGCTCTGTCACAGGCTGAATATGCCGAGCCAAACACGAATGCAGGACACCAACACCCGAAACTCGAAGCGGATAATCTACTGCATGTGGCCAGAATATAAAATCACAGCGCCGCTTCAATATGTCTTACCTCAAAACCTATAACTATTCAAGGTAGATAAATCAGCGTCCATTCGTCTAGCAATCTACTTACAGCTAGAACGACCATAATAGAGATTAAAAGGACTATTTAGCATCTTATACTAGAAAGGAGAGGATGTAGACGTTGGGATGGAAGACAAAAAACATAAAATAAAAGGAAGTGAGGCTTCAAGTTGTTTATGTATTACGTTTGCCATGTAGCAATGGTGTATAGGTACCATTTAAAGTGGAAATAAACGGGTTGAAGTCGCGATGCTACATGGCCAGCCATGTTTGTAGTCTGATCTTGTCGAATAAACGTGCTCGAAGACCCGAAAACCCTTAGAAGCGGGAAGCGGGAAGCAGGTGGCCTTTAAAGCCTCCCTAATTTAATTTACAAGTTTATTTGCTATGCGTTGGTCCTCCTTGGCTGCCTAAGTCTTGGTCCATTACGGGATACTAGGAATACCTTGGGTACTAATGACCTATGAACCCAATGCGAAGTAGCACTACTTGCAAACGAAGAAAAAAAAGATTCGGAGGTAATGTACCAAAATTAGACAATCACTTCGGCGTGTTGCTACAAACGACAAGGTCTACTACCATAAGTTTCGCCGAGGCGAAGTGTATTTCGAGCCAGCTCCTGAATGGGATGTCATCATGATACTAGACATTCTTGACTCGAGTTTACGTAGGTATAATGGCTTTTTTGATATGCGTTAGTTCTAGAAAAGGTGATGTTCCTAGAAATCCTAATAGGGATGGCGTTTTGGTTGGGACAACATGGATGCTCCATGTACCTTTTAAGTTAAGGAACCTTCCAGTTAATGATTAGCGGCCCGAGCCGAGTAGCTTCGTAGTTTTACCATCCTACTGAGATTATAATTGTATTCCCGTATTAGCTCATTTTTACCTACTCGGATTCCGCACGAGTTAGTATGTGAAGTTTTTTCTATTTTTCTTTTCGGTATTTCAGTAAGGCCAAGGAGAAGCCTCGTAATCAACACCGATGCCAATATTATATAGAGTAGCAAACGTCAAGATGATGTGGCTGAAGATGTATCTGTGGGGAGCTCCGGCCAGACAATTAGTTCCCCAGAGAGCCCCGGCTGTTGGTGGCTTACGAGTTCTGAAGGAAACCCGTTTATCTGATGCTTGGCTTGATATCTTGGCGCTATGCAATGCATGTAATGGCGTTAACTCGCTAAATGTTTCTAACTGTGGACGTATTCTTCTGGTTAGAACCACGTCAGAAGATGGGATATGCTGTAATCGTCAAGCAGCCCCGAGAAAAGTAATTTTCCTTTTAAAGTTATATCCTATGGTCAGTGAAAATGTAACTTATTGTATGTTATTGAGTAGTTATAGCTCTTGGGAACATGGAATCCGAGGGTGGTTAAGATCTTAGAAAGCCTCTGTAAGTGCTTTGGTAGACACGTCATCTATGCCGTATCTACTATAGTGATAGAAAGGATGGCCTATGAGGAAAATCTTTATTTAATCTCAGGTTTCAGGAATATATAGTCTAGCCATAATCCTAGCTATCTTTGACGTTGATAGTATTTTAGCCGTGTGGCGATTGCTTGCGCGCATGATAGAAAAAATCACATCCCATTTTTAGAGACTAATATGATAATACTAACATGTGAAGAATATTTTAGCTAGGAGTATTAGAGATTTAGTAAGGTAGGAGGAATATTTAGGTTGAGGGTTGATGCTATTGAAATGAAGTTAGACCTGTCTGATGTCATGACCCCCTGCAGACGTTGCCTTTAGCTGTGACGATAACTTTTTTATTTCTGCCCTTTAGATCTCTACTAAAAGTACATACTGAACAGGGGTTGACAGATCGGAAATGCAAGGCTGAATGTGCCGAGAGACCATATGTAGACCCGCCTGTACCGCATCCACTAAGAAACAATTGAATCTAGGGCACGGACCACGGGCTTCAACTACACTATGTTTACAATGACCTAAACTACATCCGGCTTTCGCTAAAGTACCCCACAGCAATGATATGCTCAAATCATTTCCAAATATGGTATAGTTGATTACTGTGGTCCGTGCCCTAGATTCAATTGTTTCTTAGTGGATGCGGTATCTTAGATGGAACCCCTACACTTTGAATTTCGCCTCCTAATGTATATAGGTATACCTGAGCAACGCCGCTTTAAACCCAAGCCGCACCTGAGGCTGACGCGAATTGTACGGATGTCCCTTTCAAAAAAATTTTACCATAGGAAGACCCTTTNCCCCCCCCCCCCCCCCCCCCCCCCCCCGGTAAGCTTTGACCAAGCTTGGCAACAACTGCTTACTTAATTCATATAACCTATCAGCCCTTCCAACTTCTTAACTTTCACTATTCTTTATTTCCTCCACCCACAACATTAAAAGGTTACAGTTACCTGCAAATCCAGGTTTCTATCCAGATGATTGTGCTTCATTAATTATCAAGATGGTGTCTGATGAGTGGAGCGACCCTGAATACGACATCCCTCTTCAAGACAAGCGACCATTTGGATCAGGACTAAAGCGAAAACGGGTCGTTTTCGTTCCTGCTTCTTCAGGCAATCTTAACACTACAGAAGAGGACACATCCACGAAAACTTCCAAATCTGTAGCTGATTTATATCTGAGCATTGTATTGCCTAAGGAAAAGGAGGTTAGCCAATCCACCTCAAAAGAGAGTTCAGATGTTGCTATAATCCCTCGAGCCTGTGAAATCTGCCGGCTACCCTTGGAGGAACCCCTGGAAGAAGGCCCCGACTCTGATGGGAAAGTAAAGACGAGTTCTCGGCCACATGAAGCTTCGATAGCACATCAGGTATGCCTAACTCATTCGCACCCGCCTTCGGCACTAGACCGGTCGCGAATGGGGTTGAATATCCTTCAGTCTCAAGGCTGGGATCCAGACTCACGAAAGGGACTGGGAGTTGAACAGCAAGGTGTCCAATATCCCATCAAAGTAAAACCAAAGAACGATACCCTAGGGATAGGAGTCCAAGTGCCAAAGAACCTACCGCCCAAGAAGGAGAAGGCGAAGACTTATGACGCCAAAAAGGTGCGGAAGATGGCCTTAGAGGATAAGAAACGGCATGAAAAGCTCCGGCGGCAGCTCTACAGTAATTCGGATGTGGAGAAATACTTAGGGACTGGATAAAACACACCGCACGTCTTTAGTCACATATTATATATGGGACTATTTAATCATATGAGATACCCCTTTTCTAGACTGTCAATAGACTTGAGTCTGATTACTTTATGAACTCTATAAATATAACTAATATATATTATCAGAATAATATACCTTAGGTAACTTAAGTGGTTGGGTTATATCAACCGTGGCTTGACTTATTACCTGTTTATATTCCTATTAACTAAGAACCTTGACAACCACTAGGTACCCAAGGTAACCTTTGGTACCTACATGTAGGTTGATGTGCCACGCTACGTATAACGTCCCGCAACTCTAAACTTCCAACTATCACGAGTAACAATTCCATTGCATGTAATGGGTACAAATGTACCTATATTTGTATATAAGGCTGGGTACCGGCAGTACCTAAATTAGGTAGGTACCTATGTTAATTAATGTTGTCCGCTATCGATGAAGTGGGGCTTTTCAATGTCCAACTCGGTCGCATTAGCGGATTGGAGCCCTGAAACCGAACCCCGCCAAGGGCCAAGAACCACATTACCGCTTTACTACATTCTCACTGTCCCGTCTCTCTGAAACTCAAATCCTCTTACCACGTTGCTAGGTGTAATGCGTTCATCAATACCATAAACTTGCATATACTTTGGTGATACATGTAAACTTCTTCTTACGTCTATCTCTTGTCATCATACGCGCCTACCGGAACTCGTTACTCGTACATGCGAACAACAATTACCAATAGCGACACAATAGCGACACACGTTGGTTAATAGGTACTTGTAGGAGCTTTGCCTTTAACCTACCTCCTACTTTCGAGCTCACCAATTACACAAAACGTCGTGTTTTTTTTTCACTTCGAAAACCTCGTAGAAATAGCGCGTCACCATAATATCTCCGTAGTGCCTACGGGCTAAGACAAAATGGGGGTATCTGTCATTGAAGAACAACGCGACGGTGAGAGGATCCCCTAGACTTTTACGAGACTGGAAGCTTGCCTTTCTCGTCAGCAAGAGCCTGTTCGTAGCATAGCTAACCTTATAAATTCTCTCTCGCATATAGTTATCATAAATACAGTTAAGAACATTACCGCCGGCGATGTAAGCTAATACCCCTTATACCCCTTTCTAGGGCCGAGACCACCATATTAACAGGACACTACGTATAGTGGAAAATTCTGGTCATCGACACCGAATCTAAGAAAATAATTGACAATGCCGTCAAGGAGGATGATATTCTTAATCATAATATTGCGAGTACGTTACCCGAACACGTCCCGTCTCTGGCGCATTGGCTGAAGAGAGTGCTGCAGACATCGAACGTATTGAAGATCGGAGAGATATGAACCCGAGTATGGACGCTATATATATACTGTCACCGCAACCTCACATTGTAGATTGTCTCATGGCCGATATTGAACGACGGAGATACAAAAAATGCTATTTAGTATGGACCACGGTACTCGATCCTCAGCTAAGGAGGCGAATAGACGGTTCAGCCCTAGCAAAGCAACAGATTGCTGGTTTTGAAACTCTTTCGATCGATTATTACCCTCGCGAGTCCCACGTCGTTACGTTTAGAGATCCTTGGAGTTTTCCGATCCTATTTCATCCCGCTTGCAATGGACTTATAAGGAAGCACATGCAAGATTTGGCTCAGAAGGTTTGCGGAACCATAATAGTTTACGTTTGATACCCATCGTCTGACTTGAATGTTGATAGATCACTGGTCTATGTGTGACCCTTGGCGAGTACCCGAAGGTCCGCTACTACCGGCCCCAGAATCCAATACATGAGGCCAGCGTATTATCGTCACATCTTGCTCGTTTTGTATCTGAGGAGCTCGACGAATATGCACAATGGAATCCTAACTTTCCGCCGCCGAGTTCCCGCCCGCAGGGAGTTCTCATAGTGACCGACAGATCGATGGATTTGATGGCTCCCTTGATACATGAATTTACATATCAAGCAATGGCACACGATCTACTACCGATCAAGGACGGAGATAAGACGACGTTCCACATGACTGTTAACGAGGGTTCCCCAGATGCAGAAGAGAAGGACATGGAACTCGCCGAAAAAGACAAAGTGTGGGTTGAAAACCGGCACAGACATATGAAGGATACCATCGATAAGTTGATGAGCGATTTCCAGAAGTTCCTCGATCAAAACCCCCATTTCACAAATTCGAACAGTGACACCACCAGTCTGAATGCTATTAAAGATATGATGGCGGGGCTACCGCAATTCCAAGAGATGAAAGAAGCATATTCTCTCCATCTTACCATGGCGCAAGAGTGTATGAACATCTTCCAACACCATAAACTGTCCGAAATGTCTCCTACAGAACAGGATATGGCTACAGGCCTTGACGAGGATAATCGGAAACCGAAAAACGTACTCGATGCGATTGTTCGCCTCTTGGATGATGATGCTGTCACTCAGTCGGATCGTCTGCGTCTTATAATGATGTACCTCCTTTATAGGGACGGAGTTATCCCTGAAGATATTCAGAGGCTATTAGCACATGCATCTTTACCACCCCAGGACGGCGAAGTTATAGCAAATTTGGAATTACTTGGTGGTCGTACAACACATGGTCTCAAGGACATTCGTAAAGACTTAAAACCCCTGTTTCCCGTCGACCCGAAGGTACCGGTTCCCGAGGATAATTATATGTCACGATTCAATCCTGCGGTGAAAACCATGCTGGAACATCTATGCAGAGGAGCATTAGATCAGACAGCATTTCCCTATGTCAAACCACCACTTGACCCCAACGAGGACGCGCTCATTGGCCAGGGCTCTTTGCGAGCAGCGAAACCTAGTTGGGCTGGTGCTGGTAGACGTGTCGTAGATAACAGACAGCGCATTATTGTCTTTATGGCCGGTGGGGCAACGTTTTCCGAATCGCGCTCTTGCTATGAGGTTGGCGCGGCTTTGAACCGCGATGTCTTCCTAGCAACCAGCCATATGCTCACACCACAGCTATTTGTTAGACAGGTGGGTGATCTGGGCGTAGATAAGAGACGACTCGATATACCTATGGAGAGGCCACCCCAGAGAGCACCGGCACACTTATTCGAGCGACCCGCTCCACCACCGATGGCCGCTCCCCCGGCGCCACCAGGTGGCCAACGCCCGCCCCCAGGACGAGCACCACCTCGTCCTGGTGGGCTACCAGGCGGGCCAAGAATAGGTGGCGAGCCTCATGCTCCGCCTACACATACTCCGCCTGTACAGGCAATGAGCAATATGTCGCTTCACACTCCTAAACCATCAAACGGAAGTGATGTCAGACCTCCGTCGTCGGCAAGCGGAGGCAAACCACACAAAGTAGAAAAGGAAAAGAAAAAGCGTAATATCTTCGGAATGAAGAAGAGCTGAGAAAAGGAAGAGAAGGACGTAATCCCACAGGGTTAAATCCCAACGTGCAGACACAAGGCAAAGCGCCCAAAGACTAATACTGCAGGACTAAGTAGGGCTTAGTTCTTTCTTGAGTAGCATGACCGCCGAGCGTTTGGAGATGGGAAGCCAGGTAGACCGAGAAGGAATCGATAACATGCACATACATTTGGCAACGAATGCATAGCGTTGAGGAGTTGGCGTCTTGAGAGCGAGCGTTGCGTTCTGTTGCTGTATAGAGTTCCACATGGCAAGGCAGCCAGGAAGGGAAGAGATTGGTTGGTTGGCTGGTTGGTTGGGATAGTTATACAATACATACAGCCTTTGTGTACATGGCCACGCGAATATAATCAATATCATAGACACATTATTTTATCTACTGTCCAAGAACTAAGTTAAATATCCGACTGCTCGAGTGCCTAATGAATATTTTATGAGTTAATATTATTTCGGTAGATATATCGTAGATACTAAATCGAAGAGTAGGAGGAAATATAATGGGAGGCTTTTAATTACTTTTTTTCTTTCTCTATTGATTGATAGTCCTACTTATACCCATCCTCTTACGCGTAACAACTAAACGTCCCCCTTTCTTCAACCACTCTCCTTACTCCCGTCGTTTGTCAGCGTCAGCACTTCTACATCCGGGGTTCCGAATACGCGTATCCTTCCCGTCCTACTATTAATATTATACATCATATTTCTACCCACCTAATGCCGTAGACACGTAACCCAGGTCAGCAAATTGCACTGAATAGCTCTTTCTCAATACTCGTCCGTCCGGTCTCATTATCCCTTTGTCCGAGCTCCGTCACCTTTAGATTAGAGATTGCCCGGAAGTCCTAATTTCGGTCCGGAGGTATTATATATATATCATAGGTCGCAGGTCGTGTCACAGTTGAGGGTATAAACGGCTAAAATGAAAAACCTGGGTCAGAATCGTCTCTTTCAGTATCAAGTTTCATAATTCATTTTCATTACTACGTTGCTGTCGCGCCAATACGCAAACTGTTGTTCTCTGAACCTGGTTGTATTTGCTTTGGAGCAGAGACATAGCTCTGCGATAGGATAACAAGCAGGGTAGAGCCTCTGTTTGGTTCTAGACTAATTTGCTTTGCTTTGCTTTGCTGTTGTCGGGGACGAGCAAGGAGGGTTATTACAATAGTACACGCTCTAATCCCTTTTGCTTCCAAGGAGAGAAAAAAGGAATCGCCTAGACTCTTGTCTTTTCGTCCCTAGCCTTCACGTCCGACCTGTTCCTACCAGTACACACATAAGCGTCCCGTCGCCTCCGTTTAATCCAGTGACTACAGGGAAATATTGGGAATATGCCATGATAGACCCACTAAGTTTACATCTGAATTGAGTGCGATGCAATGTTTAGTCCTCGAAGTAATCAGGCTCGGAGGACTCCTAGTTCCGACGGAAAGTGCCGGGAGGAGGAGGCATGCCGCGGTGATCGAACCCGAATGCTACATTATCCGGTCCTTGGAAACCAGGGATTCCTGGGGGTATGAATCCCGGCGGTGGCGGGCCACCGAAGAAGCCTGGAGGCGGTGCCATGTTGCGTGGGGGACCGACTATCCCCTCTGGAGGAAATGCGCCTATGGGGAAGTTTCCTGGTGGGAATGCTCCCGGAATGGGGACGTTGCGTGGGTTCCCGGCTAGGCCAGGAGGGGGGATCATAGGCCGACCTGGAGGCGGTAACTGCTGTGCATTGTTCTGCATCCAAGCAGTTGGATGAATCTGATCTAAGCCCGGGGGAACTTGGCGCTGGAGAATCTGGGTGGGTTGCTGTGGGCGACTATCTGGTTCCCTATGATGAATTGGAGGTTCGTCGAAGAAGCTGGGCAAGTTGGTGGGACGACCAACTTGATGCTGCGCGGCAACACGCTCATGTTGATAATCGATTTCCCTGTCTGGCGTAGGAAGGATTTGTGCAGGCCGAGAGGGCTGCGGCATTCTCATAGCAAGTTGCTCATTTCTCTGGGCATCGGGCGCTACTCGGGTGCTCTGCATTAGAGTCATGAGGAACTCAGCATTACTGTTGCTATTTCGACTTGGTGGCTGTTCAGAACGCGCTGCACTCTGCCGCTGGCCAATGAGGTCCTGCAAGACCTGCTGTTCTGAGCGCATTCCAGCAGCAAATTGCGGATGCACTTGTGGCCTAGGTGTGTGAACATCTTGGCCTTGAGGAGGAAGTCCACGAGAGAGCGGCTCTTCGCGGCGGTCCTGCGCATAAAGCTGGTAAGGACCGGGGGAGGCAATCACATGACTGGGAGGAGGCTCTGAAAACCCACCAGATGGCGGTGTCGTAGCCTGAAGTGTTTGCTTCTGTAGCTTCTGCAATAATGCTTGAAAAGCGACTTTCTCGGCTGTGTCATTTTGTGCTTGCCCACCACCTAGAGCGAAAAGAGGGTTCATCTCACTGGCTGGCGGAGCACTAGAAACAGGAGTTGGAGGCTCGACTTGGCGTCGAGATTCTTCTTGAGAAGAGAAAAGTTTCTGAAATCGAGAACCTGTCTTTGGTTTGATAACAGGAACAGAATTCTCCTTGGAAACTTCACCAGTGCTAGCTGGCGTTTCAATGCTTGAACTCTGTGCAAACGCAGCGAAAAATTTATCCGGTCCAGTCTCTATAGCAGGCGCCGACTTGACTTTCGTCTTCTCGGCTTCAACCTTCTCGGGTGGTGCTGATACTTCAGTAATCAACTTAGGGGCCGGCTCAGCCTTTGCCGGGTTCTTCCCTGCCTTCATACTATCCATGAACTTCATGAAGTCCTCTTGAGTATGCGCTTGTGACTGCTCTTCGACGGGCTCATCAAGCCATTCCGGTTCCCGTTCCTGACGCTGATCCCGGTCTCGATCCCATCTTCGTTCAAATGTTCTCTCCCTCGGCCTATCTTGCTGTCCTTCACCTTGATGCTCGTTTCCGGCCCTATCTCTCCAACTCTTGGACCTGTCAAAACGCTCCCGAGGCGCGGGGGCATCATTGTCCCTTAGCCAAGGTTGATCGGTCCTGTTCTTGTTCAGGCCGTTTCTACGGGGTTTATCGCCATCTTCCCCTTCTTTCTCCTTGGCAAACTCGCCGAAATTGCGGCGGGGTCGATCCACATTGTCATTGTCATCTTGATCGCGCGGTCGGCGTTCTGGTCCAAAACGCTCAGGCCGGTCACCCATACGACCATGGAATCTTTCTGCGCCTTCATGCCCAAAACTTTTACGGGGCTTCACGGTACTCCAGCCCTCACTGTCCTGGTCATCACCACGTCGGCGGAAGCCACCCCGAGCGTCACGATCACGGTCACGGTCACGGAAGCGCTCAGAATTGTCAGCATCGCCATTTCGAGAGCGGAAAGCGAAGCGGTCTCGAGTATCGGTATCCTTCAATGTCTTATCGTTATCGAATGGTTTGTTGGCTCTTGTGAGAGTAGCCGACGAAAAGGTCGTTCGCGGGGGTCCAAGGATAATATCCTCAGAAACTAGGAAACGGGTTAGAAAAAGTTGGAGGAGAATTAATATAAAAAATACCTCCAGCGTTTCGTGACGTATGTCTGTCAATGCCTACTCGTCTATTAGACTGGTCTAATAGGGAGCTGTCGTTGCTTCTTCTCTCAGTCCCAGGTTTATTTCCTTGGTTGTTGCGGAAAGCTTCGGGCGGTGGTCTGTAGGACTCATTAGTATGACGGCAAAAGGAAACTCCATCCTTTATTAACTTAAACGTACCCCATCCATTCTTCTGCAGGAGGAAGTGCGCCTGGTTTGACGCATAAGTGCGATTCGCGCAGAAATATCAGCGTGTCTATTGTATATCGTAATGCCATATCATTTGAGGGCTGGGTAGTTATCTAATTTTGAATAGTACGTATATGCGGTGGGGAAACGTGGACGGCATCCACGTTTGAATGGTACGTGGTCGTAGTAGGGGCGGTAAGATAGATTATCGTGAGTTGGCTAAGCAAGGCTCTCCTTAAAGAGTATCTGTCTTGTGCGGGGTGGAAGAGTTAATGAGGGCGTGACGAGGGTTTTTTTGGGGGGGGGTTTTTTTTTTGGTTGGCGACACCGATCGGGTTCAAGGAATCCCGGATCCTAGAAGGGAATTCTGTCGCTCATCAAAGTTGATCAAGGTCGGATTGCTAATTGGAATTGGAAGGAGGAGGCGCGTCAATTGACAAGACGATCAATCTGAAGACTCGGGTGGGAGAGAGTATGAGCTACCTCGGATAGAGGAAGCGACGTGAAGGAGAAGTGGCGGTGGTATATCTCAAAAACGCATTTAAAACTTAGATGTTTGATGAATTAAAAGTAATATTGTACCAGTGGGTTTTTGGTGGCTGCACGAAGAAAGTATCTTTAGTGTCGTATTGTTGGGTGTATGATCAGAAGATGTTACAATGGATGTATGTTGTAGGGCGACGTCAAAAACATTTGTCCAAATATTAAATATTTCCTTGAGGAGACCACCAGAAGTTTATTAACTGCCCTGGAGATATGAGAACTGGGAAAATGTAGAAAGTGGTCCGTGTCCCATCTTTCGGGGTAGGTAGGTACCTATGAAGTACGTAAATACGTAGATATGTACTTATGACAAGGTTACCCCATAAGCCGCATGACATGTACATATATGTACCGAAGATTCTCAGCAGGCACAGAGAAGGCCTGACGTACTATGCAGTATTGTACAGCTAATTTAGCGTCACGCTGGCCTGAGTGGGTCGATACCTGCAAGCTTTTGATGCCTAAATCGGGTCAGCCAAGAAGTTCCATAGGGTTAATTATATAATCAACTTCTATCAAATGATTTTTACACATGTACCTAAGGTAGGTACATATATATATACCTCCTAAGGTTATCTAGACTTTCATATTAGCTACATGTACCTAGGTACCTACTTTACGTAACATATATTGACTTATAAATAAATAATAGGGGTAACGAGTTGTCCTTGTTTAAGACCTCCGGTCGTGTCAATGATTATACCTAGCGAACCGACTAGAAATTTCACGTTAACTACACTATAAATCATCTGTAGCTTCTACAAGAGAAAACGGGATATGTGTGGGAGTTGTAAGTAACTCTGTATTAGCTTACGGTATGACATATGTAAAATGGGTATGCTTTGCTATCATGGCTCTACAAGCCTTTCGATGCCACCCTTGCTCCACGCCGAGATGCGTTTTTGATCACAGGTTTCCCATAATCTTCTAAGCATCGCTTGATACACTCCGCGCCCAGCAACATCTGTTGCTGTATCCCTCTGCGCCAAAAGCCAACTCACCACTCCAAACCTCGTAATCAAAGTATCACTTCCCCCCTCGATACTCGACATCCTATAAATGATCCTCAATATTTGCGTCCTCAGATTAGGACCCATAAAGGGGTTGGACGTTAAAGCGAGTAACCTCTCGGGAACTCTGCGTTTATGGAATAGAGCCACGTCCGCGGGTGTTCGTAAACTTTCGAGTAGGAAACCCAGGAGCCAGCTGACTTCGGAGTAGAAAGCCCCATCTTCGGTCGGGCCCTCTTGGAGGATATTTTGTATAAGAGGTATCTTGTCTAATGACCATACCGGTCCACTAGTGAGAAACAGATTGACCTTCTCATATAGACTGTGCATGGGGTTCATTAGAACTTCGAGGGCCTTGCAGGCAAAGGCGATGATCACACTCGGTAGTGGCCCGACCGTAAGCGAATCTCGTGCTGATTCAGTAAGTTCCATAAGCAGGAGCCATATTTGCTCGTTGTTCTCGTATGTTGAATCTTTTATCTTCGCAGCAACTTTGACTATGTTTATGAGTGCTTCCTTTCTAATGCTCGAATGCTCAGACAAAAGCAAGCGGATTAGTGAAGATGCATACCCCTCCTCGACAAGTTCTTCAGGTGTTTTGGATGTCCATTTAGATAAGGAATTATCTTTGCTTGTTATAATTGGCACTGCTAGCCTCTGTTCTAAGTCCTGAGGGCTGATTTGTGCGATTGAATCGCTGTCCACATCCATAGCAGCTTGGTTACCCCGCCCATTAATATGCAAGGCATTATGATCGGAGTGATGTTCTCGAGATTCTGGTATAATCTTCTTCCTTTTTGGAATGCGCAACTTTTCTTTGAGCTTCTGGTCTGTAAAGCCGGTAGAAAAGAACTCCTTCGAAGCCTCTACGAAAGGCTTGCTTACACCAGCAGCAAGTGAATGTCCAAGGTATTCCGAGAGAAACTGCACAAATGCTTTCAATGTGGTCTTGCTAGAGGAAGACGAACTAAAAAAAGGAATCTGCTCCGCAATCGTCATCATGAGAGGGTAAGTAACTGTATCTTCGTCTTCGGAGATCTTAACTTTATCTAGTTGCTCTTCAATCATCTCAAGGTATTTGACCGGCGTCCTAGCACAGCGCTCAACACAGTTATCCAGGAATATCCAGATTGCCGAGTCGACGGTTTCAAGGCTCCTCAATGCTGCAATTAAGGGGTATAGCCCTGGAGAGTTTGGTTGGTCTTCTACCAATTGATGTTCTTTAGCAACCCAATATAAGACGCCATCTAAGCTCTCATTAGATAATCCGGTTGTCTTTTCGACAGATAATCTTAAGAGGGTTGTGAACGGAGAGTGTGGTATATCGGAGGTTCGAGCAAACCACCGCATATTTGGGGAGTATTTCGCAATTGCGCATAGGTTTTCGAGTTCGAATAGAGACATCACTGTATCTTCATCTGCTCTATCTGATGCCTCAACTCTCTTGATAGTAGATGATAATATTGGTGAGACGTCAAACCTGGCTCTCAAGGCAACCTGGGGGATGACCTCGTAATAGAGTAATAGCAAGCGGCTTGCGGCTTGCCGTTGAAGTAGGTCATCTTGCTCCATGGCAAGATAACATTTGATAACATCCTTGATGTCGGGGATCCTTTGGTAAAATTCATCTAAGAGCCGGCGAGCTGCCTCTTCCCAAAGAGAATCAGGTGACGACGATGCCTCTCGATACATCTCTAGAGTTCGGTCTAACTTTTGCAAAGCCAATATTAATAGACGGATGGCGTAAAAGGAAGCTAACTTGGATTTGATAGAGAGACATCGCGTTATAGCTTTTGGTGTCATGGGTATTGGAATTATGTTTCCAAGCACCACAGAAGTAGGGGGTGGAATTCTTGCATAGCCTTTAGCGTGTCCGAACCAAGAGGGGATCGGTAACTGAACAACATTGTAAAGCAATGCGGCGTAACCAATCCAAGTAGCCGTTAGCTTTGGATCAAACGCAAACGACTTCTTGTGACAAAAGTAGTTGGCAGCCAATTCCGGCGATGTTTCGAAAATCGCTACCAGAAGTTCATTCTGCTTCGTGATAGACCACGGTCGTAATGTCTGGATAAACTCCGCCAACAGCGAATTCCGTACAGGTACATCGTTCTCAAACTTGCCCATCCACGGGATGCTATCGATACCAAAATCCACAGGTTGATCATCGTTGACCGCCGATGGTATGGCATTGGGATCTACGCCCTCGGGGTAATAACCATGTTCCGATCGACGGACACCAGCGTCGGAATCAGTGCAAGCAGCGGTCAAGAACGCATGGGCCGATTGCTCGACAGTCGGGCGCTCGCGCTCTGATTCACCTTCATGTTCGGTAGGGACTTCGGGATAACCATAGAGCTCCGCTATCCTGATAAGGGAATGCGCATTCAGGATTCTAATCTTGATATCCTTCGGCAGCTTCCTGTCTAAAATAACAGAAGCTCTCAGGGTATCTAAGATTTCATGGATTAATGAAGGTGGATCCTTTCTAATGTGCCTCATAAGCGCTGCCACGATGTCTTTTTGGGATAATAGATCGCGCTTCGCTTCAACATGGAGAAGTTTCAAGCTACTTAGAAGAAATCGTATTGCATTTGTCCTTACAGACGGTCGCTTAGGATCTTCCACGCCTTCTCCTAGGTATTTAAGACCTATATTCCTAGCGAGAGATTTAAACGTATTGTTCCTAGCTCTGAATATCGGGGCTGCAAGCGCTCCACCATCGAAGCATACCGCTTCTCTGAGAAGTCTTAACGTAGGAGATATTATGAAATCTTTGCCATTGTCAGCCGAGAGATTTTTGGCGATAAGCTCTTGCTGTCGTTTCTGAACGAGAGTCCGACATATCCCTAAACCATATGACACCAAATTCACTTTCCCGGAGAGAATTTTGAGAAGAAGCGCGAGGACAACCGCGACGGCAGACATGACATTTTCGTTATTTAACTGTGAAGCCATGCTCCACGATTCCATTATATCTGGTAGATACACGGGGACTTCGTCATCCTGTTCTCGTGGCTTTACCGAGTCCAAGAACTCCCGTAGTATTTGAAACTTCTCAGAATCCTGGTCTTCGTTGTTGACGATGCAATCGAGGAGGTTTTTGAACGATTGGAGACCTAGGATCAGATAATATTAGCATTCTGCGGTACAAGAAATATCTGCAATTGAATTCGAACCAACATACCGTGCCTAGCTTTCCGAAGGTCTTGTTCGAAAGCTAACAGCTCGCGAAGTTGTCTTCCGGTATAGACATCTTCGGAGGTAGGGGGATCATGCACATGGGCAGTCTTTTGTTTCTTCCCCGAATAACTTCCTTCACCTCCGTAAGACTTGCGCTTTGCCATTTTATGTGATTTCTAAGAGAGTCGCGCTTGACTACGGCATCATCAGGATGATTATTAGGCACTCAATATCAGAAGTGTACCTAGGTATGTAGGTACGTATTAGACGAAAACGTTTAATAATTGTCGAATATATGGTTTATGGTATGATGCACTATTGAGTAGCGGTTACTTTGCTTGTAAATACTATGGGAATTTATTAGCTAGGTAGCTTTCTCTCTTACTCGATGTCGCATCTAGAAAATATCTTGAATTGCCGACTCTGACCGCTCCCCCACAATTTCGAATTGGGTTTAGTTCATGAGATACGGGATACATAGGCTGTTAGGAAGTTTCGCGCCCAGGCAGTTCAAGTGGATCCACTACGTTCTAATAAGGTTTAACCCCCGGCTTCTACATATGTAGTAAAGAGGTACCTTATGTACCTACCTAACGTCTATCCAATCGTATGTATTTCCATGTTGCTGTCTTCGTACATAAACTCAACTCTTCATACCCTAGTAACAGGTGTTAAACAGGTATTATTCACAACCTCAACTCTAGGTTATCACAAAAATATCCAAGCCAGGGGTCATAATAAATCATATCATATACGGAGCAGCACTTCGCCGCAATGTAAATGCACGAATAGCTTCTCTACTCTACACACGACAGATATACAACGTTTCCAGAGACACAATTCCTTACACACACACAGGAAGATGGATATCATACTACTTACTCCCCACCGCAAATCAGGCCTTTCGCTACGTTACCCGTAAAATGCCAATTATATCAAGTATCTCCTAGCGCCTGTAATCAATAGATCAACATGCTCGTGCTCTCGTCCCACATTAGGTGCATATATCCTATCCTGACGCTCATAGCATATCACCATTAGACGGGCTCGCCTTGTGCGGTAAGAACGAGTTCGGCACCTTAGGTACCTGCGGCGAGATCTGCTGCTGGCGTGCGCGGAACAGTTCCCGCTGTCTCTCGGCATCGCGTCGTCCGCCGCCCGTAAGCCGGCGCATATGCGTCCTCGTTGTCTGAGCGATCGGCTTGATCATATTCTCTAGGAAGAACGAGCTCTCCGGCGCGCCGTTCAGTGGGCGGTCGTCGTCGCCGTCGGAGAAAACTTCTTCGGTTAGTTCGTCGTCGGAGGTCAGCTCGCCGAGTTGGGGTTGGGTCCACGACGTCGGTGCCGAGGGCGAGGTAATCGAGCGTGAGTGCAGTCCCGGTCGAACTATTGCCGCGGGGTTGAAGGCACCCGGGTTCATGGTGTTGGGTTTGATTTCTTTCGACATGGGCATCCGGTCTACGAAGCCGTTCTGGAATGAAGTATTGGTTGAAGCTTGGTGTAAGATGGGTAAAACGTCGTCGTAGAGACGAGCACCTGACTCGTAGCTCTCGGGCGAGAATTCTGTCACCGTTCTTGATGACCGACCCTCACTAGGGGACGTCTGTGACATATCATCGAAGAAGTCGTCTAGACTATCTAACTTGGTTACCAAGTCGGCCATCTGGCCATCGCCCTGGACATCATCCGACATCATAGTATCCGTTCGTTCTGGCATCTCGAAATAACCGTATCGGTAATCATCAGCATGAAATTCGACCTCTGGTGTTGGTGTGGGGTCTGTGGCCGCGCCATCCTCGGGGTTTGCCTGACACATATAGAACGCAGCATGTATATTGGCCCGTGTATTCTCTGTCTTCTTTGCCGGGACTGGTATCGACCAGCCGGAGTCTTCTGGAATACCAAATAGACTCTGAGTTGTCTCGTAGTCTTTCCTATCTTTAGATGCCGCGCTGGTCATGCTCATACGGACATAATGCTTATCCATCGGAGTACCAGACATGGTCATGATATTGTCGAGCACATCTAGCGCCTCCATGCAATACTCGGTCTGTAAAAGTCGGAAGAGGGGGGAGATCAAGTCGGAACCATGACTAGCGATTTCGGGCTTACGCATCTCAATTTCGGGAATGATAACGCAAAGTAGCCTCATGGTCATGATCTTCACCGAAGGCAAGCTGTTCGTGAGGAAGCCCAGTATCATTGTTAGCATTTGGAAGTCGAGCTGTGGTAGGAAGATTTCGCGAAGTGCAGCAAGAAGCTGGACCATGAATTCTTTACCAGAAGAGTATCTCGATTCCATGAATGCTCCCAGGGCCGCGCATATCGAAGACAGCCCTTGCGCCTCGGCTACCGCAAAAAGGATTTCCGCAGTTTGCAAAGTTCCCTCCTTGATAGGGCCATGCTCCATAGCTTGCAAAAAACGTGGAAAATTACCAAGGATGGAAAAGAATAGCCTATTGTCATTTCCGATGAGATCACAGCTTGGTAGCTGAACAAGCTTATCTAAAATGTTAAGTGTGGGCTGAAGACAAAGAGACGATCTCAGACCCTTATAGAGCAAAGGCTGGACGCCTTCAAACGAACCCTCCCATCTTGGAGGTTGACCCTCCATAAGAGTATTTCGAATGCCCGGGGAGTGGAAATCAAGCTTTTCCAAGAACTCGTCGAGCATCTCAATTGCCTCAAGAAATTCGACCTCGTTAATCGAGTCCAGGCACGCACATGTCGTCCAGAATAATTGTGGGAAGGATATGAGTTTCTCCGGCTCGAGTTTCGAAATGAGGGTTTTCAGGGTTGTCAGGATTTCCATAGAGAATGTCTGGATCTCAGTATCTTCATCCGCAATGGTATTAGATAATCGAGCAAGCATGTCGCCAAGCATCAGCTGGTCGAGCGAGGTAAGGATACAGCGGAAGATCTGGAATGAACGACAAGCGAGATGCCTGACCGGGCACGAAGTTGCCCAAGTTAGCGATAGACGGCTCCACTGTTCCTTGATTCCCGGGAAAGTGATTTCAAACGTCTTGACAACTTCCGCGGTCAGATGTTCCATACTCTGAGGTACCTTATTATCACGACCGTCTACTTTGCCGTTACTCTCTTCGTAACCCCAGACAACAGCACGGTCGTGGCGTCGAATTGCATCAACCACGTCCTCAACCAACTTTTTTGATTCCATGGGAGTACCCTCATCCATTTTTGAAACAACAAGCTCGTGGATCAAGTGAACTAACATTTCCCGAGCTTGCTCTTGAACGAGAGGGGTGTAATGATCCCAAAGTACCGTAATGACTTGTAATAAGACTATTAGATTGTCGGTATTGAGTTGTACAGGTGATACCATCAAATCAACCAAGAGTATCAGGGATAATTGTCCTAAGGAAAAGCCCGCCTGCTTGGTTCCGACTGGCAAGGCTTCTGACAAATCAGCGCAATAAGGTAATTGCAGTTGACTAAGATCAGGAGGCGACGGGACAACATCCCTCTTCTCGTTAGGGACCATAGCTTTAGGAGTGATCTGCATCAGCAGAAACTCTACTACTTTAATGCCCGGCGTGCTAGGAGTGCTTGATAAGAACACTACTATTTGTTTAGCATACTCGACGAAATTCTGCTCTCTTCGTTCCAAGCAGAGAGAAATAATGAAATCAAGTACAAGCCGGACATTTCCAGGAAATGGACCGGTGGCGAGTGCTTGCCAGAGCGCCTGTACCTCGTTATGAAGTGCAGCGCTAGACTTGATGGTAACTTCAAGAAGATTAGCAAGCAGTACGTAAGATTGAGCCGTAGGTCCACCATTTGGATCGACCTTCAATTCAATAGTTTGAATCCAGGGCAAGATGACGGCTACGACATTTCGCTGCGCGCCCGGGGGGAGATTCTTGAAATAAAGTGTAACCTCGGAAAAGATATGAAAGGCGAGTTCGGGATGCTGCTTCGCGAGACGTTTAGAAATCTCGAACTGAGCTAACTTGTAAACAGCCTTAGTCTTATCCGCAATGCTGATCTCGAAGTCTCGGATCTTGGAGTTCTGGGCGGCTTGCTGCCTCTCGCCGAGGGCCCTGAGAACGTGTGCTGACTTGGATCGGATATCGCTTTGGTCGCTTCCTAGGGTAAACAAACACAGTCCTAACAATTTCCAGAATGGCGACGGGTAGTCGAGATGCTCTAGTAACACCTCAGTAATCACAGTGAAATAACTCTCAAGCACCTTAGGTACTTCTGTGAGGTAGCACCGCGCGATGCAGTGCTCCAAGAGGTAGGGATGGTCCTGGTTATACACGATCAGGTTCTTTATGGCTCTTCTCCCTATAACATTGACCCGGTCACTTCCGGAGCTGAAAATCGATTCCACCCAGTTCAGCATCCGTCTCATATCGAAATGAAGTGTAGCACCGCTCTCAGTGGTTACACTGACTGGTCCAGCACAAAGGCTTGCCATGGCACTCAGAGCTGCTGTCTTTAAATTTCTCTTTTCTATTTCCATAGCCGCAGTAATAGTGCCCCTTTCGCCAAGAGATTGCTGGTCAATCAATGACTGTCGCATCGTATCTTCTCTTTGGCGGATCTGCATCTGATTTGGGGAGAATCCACACCAGTCTTCCATCAGGGTGAAAGAAGACTTCCGCGACTCAAACGTCATCCAACGAGATGGGTCTTTCGTACGATTAACTCCCTCGAAAAGCCCTTCAACCAGGCCGCAGTAATGGCGCCTTAGTTTTTGAAACTCCCAATCCATCTGAACCTCGCCATCCATGAGGAAGAGCTTTAGGTCCTTCGTGTACGTACAAAGATTATTGAGGATCCAATCATCTTGGTAAACCTCAGGCTCCTTTAAAAAGTGGCATGTCAACTTATATACGTAGGTGATTTCTGTTCGTAATAGGTCCGTTTTCCGGTTTCTACGCGGGCCACTATTGGTTCGCTGGTGTATTCGGGCGCGTGCCTCGTCATTACATCGGGATACTTGTCCCTGTAGTTCCTCGAGTAAGGTTCGATATATGTTAATATTGATCGAGCCCATAGCAAGCACAACAGCTTCACGAACAGAAGCTGAAGAAGCTAAGAGCAACGGTATCAAGAATTTGAAGAGCGTCCTAGCCGATACAATCTTGTCGGCAGCTTTGGATACTTTCCGCGCATGTTGGCTGTTTTGCAACGC